GACGAATCTATTAGGGGTCCGTTTTTTGCCATTTGGCTACGGAACCCTAAAAAAGAGGAATAAATTCCATGCGCGATACAAGCTTTCGAAATTATTTGAACCTTGCATGCAATTATCATGTGTTAACGGATTAACGATTAACGTTAACTTGCGTTAAATCTTGTGAAATGTAACGTTTTAACGTTTAACGAAGTTAATTTTTTTATTAACGGTTTAACGATTAACGAAGTTAACTATTTGATTAACGGTGCCCAGCTATGTGAGTACATAACCCAAAACACAAGTTCCCAAACGTACAGATGACAGCACATCAACATAAACACTGTGGAGTTTTATGTAATCGTAATAAGAGCGATTTTGGAACAAAAATGTATAGCCTGGTGTGCTGTCTGTAATTAGATTGCAGGTGTCAATTAAATGTTTAATCAATTTCTGTGTATTCATTCTAATACAAAAGGGTGTCGCAGAATGGAGGTTAAACCATTCAAATCGCATTATAAACCAATATGACTTGAACCTTTTGTTGAATTAGGCTTTGAAGCACAAGGAGTAATGATGACATTTTCAGTATTAGTAGTTATGTTAAAGTGAATCTTATTCATCCCTTGTTAGTACATTCATCAGTGCTAACATGCATCTATGTGAAGACAGAATGCAGCTATTGTTCTTAGCCACTTGCCTCGCGTTTTGGACTAAGTAGTAGAAACACGATTTTAAATTGAAAGCTAATGTTGCGTTGTCTACAGGCTTCCGCTACGTAACACGGATTAAATGTAGTCCACTGTATTAAATTTCCCTTGAGTTACTACAAAAGCGATAAGCATCGTCATCATCGTTTCAGCCACATGACGTCCACTGTTGAACATAGGCCTCCCCAATGATTTCCAGATTTGACTGGTTGGTAGCATCCAGCGCCTTCCTTCTATAAAAGGTTTTCTGTCCAGCTTCTGATGTAAGTCCTAATAATTTTTTCCTAAATAATTAAAAAAGACCAACACACACACTTCAATGTTGGGAACTTATAGCTCACTCGTAGGGTATTCGAGGGTATTCAGGCAGCGTCGGCGCGCGCTAAACAAAAGCGGCATAGGGAGATTTATGAACAATTCACGACGCAATGATATGGGGTATCTATTCAAATCCTTCGTAGAACTCGGGGGCAGGTACTGGCAAGATGATATATGTCCGCGCCAGTACAATAGGTACATTAGTTTGAACCACTTTGCGAGAATTCAATTTCATTTGACATAAGTACCCATTTGCCTGTATCGTGGAGGGCTGGATAAGTGTATTTTTAGGACCGATTGGACTTTTTTATTTATAGGCGATAAGCGACCGTTTTTCCAAAGAGTCCTTAGTAAATATTTCACTGCTGACGAAATTGTTTATGTAAAAAAATCGAGTTAAGCTTCTGAAACGCAATAATTGATCGACCTCGTAAAGTTTTGAAACATATTAATTCGAGTATTATATCAATCTGTAAATATAACTTCAAAGGCTTTTAGTAACGATCAGACGATTTGTATTACTGAATACCACTATTAATAATATCTCACTAATGTTTATACAACACGCGATAGAGTGATTCCGTTAAAAGCATCTCGGTAACCCCGAACGTTACACGCGTTTTCGGGAAAATTTTATTCAGAGAGCGTAGTTGACTGAATAGTGTTGCGGAGGCTTCAAAGAAATATTTTCCAGCAAATCATCCAACATTAAATATTCCTAGCAACATGCCAGGCGCTTTCACAAATAACTTAAGCAAATACACGAGATATACGATTTTTAAAGGCGGTTGCTAAGTCAATTGCAAACACGGGAAGAAAAAAGCGCCCGTATCTTGGCATCAGGNCCCTACTATACGTGAAATATTTTCGTAGCGTTAATATTCAACGCGTGCCAAAAAGGTAAACAGTTTTGCACTTAGTAAAAGGTTTTTAGTAAAGTAATATCGGCATTTGCATAGCCTATTCATACGCCAGAGGAAGGGTCTTCTCGGTGTTAGGACATCAACAACACCCTTTTAACTTGAGTTTGTTTGTCTAGTCACGTCGCTACAAAACATAAATAACAACAAATTTATGTTGAGTGCGAAACTTCAGGGATAAATAAATTAATGGAATCGAGGGAACGTGTGCGTAATTCGTTTTGGATTACAATGTTTAATTAGAAAGATGTCCCATGTGCTGATGTTTTAATGTCCCTTGAAATACCGTTGCTGTAAATACTTTTAGTATAAACAGACTGGCATGATAATATTTTGTGAAAATGTTAAAGATGTTCTACTTTTACAAAATAAGTAATGTTCGGAAATCGAAGATGTTTGAGATAAAACAAAAGTGTCTTGTCTCATTTGGCTACAGTTTATGAAAAACATCACCCACACAATAAACGACCGTATTTCATTCACACAAATCAAACCCGCTTACCATAAAGACTTCACATATTCCCAGATTCACACTGCATTGTCCCGCATAGGTCCTTATAAATCACAATATCCTAAATCGTAACAAGATAAACTGGGCCGCCGCGAAAATCCCCATAAAACCGCAAAACATTCGAAAATGATTTATAGTAGCCCCGATCTGTTTGGGGCTTCGAACAAAAACAGATTATCGGAATCCCAGTTATTTCCAACAATCGCTTTATGGGCCCGACTTACGAATGGATACGACGAATGGTGCGTCTGCAGATGTGCAAAGGTGATATTATATTGTTCTATTTGACTTTGAGTACTTACTTTATTATGTCATCATTATTAAAGTCATAACTTTTTTTTGTTTGCATAACAAGGCAGGTATTTGACCACGATCGCACCTGATGTTAAGTAGGATGCTGTCTAGGATGGTACATTTATCTGCCCTATAAGTGCCTATTCACTCTCGCCTTGAAAAGGCCCGGATTATAGTCTTCGGGAAAGACAGCAGCTAATTCCAGTCCCTAACTGTTCGCATTATAAAAGAGTCATCGAAACGCTCAGTGCGAGCAGTGGAATGTCAACAATATAGGGATGGTACGCTAACCTGCATCTGGTTCCCCGATGATAGAAGGGGGCTGGGGGAATTAGTTCGTGTAATTGTTTTGCACATTCTCTGAAGTGTAGCATGTAGAAAACCGATAGGGATCCTACCTTACGGAAATGGTCAAGTTCCTGTAGCGACGCTTCAACAAGGTTTCTTTCTATAGTTTGATTCACCTTTTTATCATAGTCCTTATAGCATGTATGTGGTAGCATGAATACTGGAAGAATGTTAATGTAAAAGTATGTGCATTCATATTTCATACGCAAAGCTACCTATATCGATTTGTCCAATATACCTTTAATACATAATTATACAGAAATAATACATATTGTAGTATACTGTCACTATACGTCTCTTTAGCTGGTGAGAAATTTGGGACAATTAATTATTGACGACGGCACATCAAGTTGAACACTGTGGCATCTTATTAATCTACTTGTAATAGGTGCAATTTGAAACAAAAATTTTAGTCTGATGTCAAACTATGTTAAAAGCAAAGTTAAAAAATACTGAGCCTCAAAATGCAAAAGTTCAGCAAACTCACCTTAACCTTTGTAAATTCCAGGAAAAAGTTCATACGTTCATCGCTTCTGGACACTTTAATCATAAAAGAATCGGCTCGAATAAAAACGGTCGGACCCGCGGGAACAAAAAATATAACGATGTATTTAGCTCTGATTTCATCGTTTTGTGACCGTGTATGTCGGAGCGCGAATTCGGTATAAACCGGGATTACATTAGAAGTTACAAAACCGCTGCGTTATTTATACGAGTATCTTTGTAGAATATGTGAATACCTGTTTGTAGAATGAAAATAGTTTTAGAATAGCATAAGACTCATTTCATAGCATTTAATGGAACTGTTTTAATTTATTCATAGTCATAAATGTTTATTGCATCATGTCCAATCAACCAATTTGAATGAACCGTATCTAATAGAAAAGTCTGACTACATCTCAAAATGTACATAATGAATAAAATAAAAATATATGCGACATTGGAAATGATAAATCAAGCACATTGTTACAAACGTCACTAAGGATCAATATTGCTTGATAAACAAATGAACTTCATTAACACGCTTTGAAGCAAACCTTACAAAAGCGTAGACGAAACTCACATGCTAAATAAGTATGGTGGTCGTCAACGTAGACACAAGTCATTCGAGCGTGACTCGAGTGGTGTAATTAGCGGGACCGAAAATGAGCCAGTCTGGAGCCGGACTTAACCACAGCCTGGCGAGAACAGTCTACACTGTTCTGAGGTAACACAATTTATTTATTTAAGAACATTATTGCACACACAAAGAAAAAAGCAGTACAAAAAGGCGAACTTAATGCCATGTGTCATTTTACCCAGCTAACCTTAAGCAAAACAGAGAATTGTGATGGTGTAGTGTAAAAATCATAAATATTCTTCTTTTCTGTTCCCCAGAGCCGTTATTTCGAGACGGCTGTATTCACTTTTGTTGTGATTGAAGAAGAGGACACACAATAATAATTCCTAAAGAAATTAAAAAACTGTTTTTCTTAAAAGTTTTAAAGGAAGAGAGTGGGTACACACTGAGTATTTAGCACTTGCCAAATGTTCGTGTCAAAGCGCCTGTAATAAAACAGTATGATTGGCTGAATATGTTTGATTTTGATAAATGGTTAGAAAATAGGTAAAATTGCATATTAGCAAAAAAGTACCTAGCAGTGGATTAAGTTTCATTGTATGGATAAATACATAAATATAAATTTATAGCACACATTTTTAATACCAACGTATTTTTTTAATACGAACTAAAATGTAAATACAAAACATAAAAAGAAAGTTTGCTTAAAAGAATTACGACGTGTAGACAACCCCTAAAGTAGTTTGCCGTTCCGTTTTAGCTGTGGTCAAGTCGGACTTAACTTTACACTGCGTTCGGGTCTTTCCGCCGGCACCCGAACGATTCCGAACGTTCTTATTTGTAGTCGACTACGGCTCGTAGCGGTAGTCTGCAGTAGTCGCTTCGTAGCTCTCGTAGCACGTCTACGTCGCTCGCTACGGTCCGCTTTTCACTCTCGCTCCCATTTTCGAGGAAAAACTTGAATAATTGATCGCCGATGAATTTGTAAACGCAACTGATTGAAATTTGGTGATTCGTATTATTAATATCCACGGGGTTTTAGCTGATTGTGCTTGGATATTCTCTTCAACAGGTGAGGTATTGATATATTTTATTTATAGATTTTAATAGTTAATGTTAGATGCTTACTTAGATATTTTTTAAGCTTTGTTTTGTTATCTTTTTTTGCCAGAAGGTATTGTAAAAGTGTAGATTGAGCAAGTTCTTTGCCGTTTTTTAGTTATTTTAAAAGCAATGGAACTCAATTATTTATACTTCTTCGTTCTTCAGTGGTTTGTATTTATTATAAGTTTATGTATTTAAAAGCATGATATTAATCACGATTTGTGTCGTGACTCTTTTCATTAAGTTTATGAAACATCTACATAATTTATAATTCTTTGATCATTTTGTATTATGTATGCTTTGGTTAATGAATGTTCACGTGGTTTATCCCGAAATTCTAAATCACACCTTATTTTGTTTTTCGTCTTTTTTGTGATAATAATTGTTTTTGACAGAATTTACTTTCGTAAATCTGATTTAGATTTTTTACTTACATTTTAATATTGTTTTTAATTAATGACACTTTTGGTGACTCTTTTGTAACTACAGTCTAAGAGTAAATAAGGTCCATTTTACGATTAGTATTTAGCCATATACGAGTACAATTCATCGTTCGAGTTCATGCCCGAGGCATACTCAAGGATAACGAAGGTTCGTGTAATTAATTAGTCCTTTTGAAGACCCAAATAAAGTGTCACCCATCGTTTTGGTCCATTATCTAAGTTTTATTCTGCAGAAACAGTAAAACGTTCCATTGTGGCATTTCCAATTTTACCGTTTTCCGTGTTGTGGACAATATAAAGAGGCTCCTCCATTTAAATGGGAGATTTTTTGCGTCTCTACCTATTGTTGATAATTAGATTCATCCCTAATATTTGTAGCATGAATTAATTTATTAGATCTAAATAATAAATAGGTTATTGACAATAAGAAAGCTTTATTTATTAATATTTTGTTGTAGAAAGTTACCAAAGGGACATTTAATTTTATTATTAAATACTGAGACTCAAACATGGAATAAAAAGCTGATATAGCATAAAATATTCTCATTTAAATTGTCTCTTTGTTGAATGAGTATTAATATAATATTAGCGATAATATTCGTCATTTTGTACGTTTTCTCTTTAGAAATACTACAATAATTAAGCTATAAATGTTTATGTAAACTGAACGACCGTAGTTTAATACTTAGAGCTCCTAACTAAAGAGTCGAAGCTCAGGAGTCGAACATTAGTAGGAGCAATAAATATTTATGTTTATGTGGCAACAACGAAAGTAGTATCATTAACTAAAGTACTTTTGTAAAGATACATTATCTTTTTGTTCGTAGTCTAAATTTACCTGTTAGATGAGTTTTCAAGTCTGTATGTAAGTCTGTATGTAGGTAACAAGGTTTTGTTTTCAATAATTATCTTTGTACCCATATAACATCCAGCCTGGAATTTCACATAGGTATTCGTCTGTCATAACTCCAATATGTACGCCGAGTTCAGACATATTTCTCGTGCCATTCTCCCGTACAAGTGAGTGCCTATTGTTTACTTATTCATACTTGCCCGGGGGCACATTCAGGCATAACGAGTGCTCGAGTTAATTAATTAGGCCTTTTGATGACGCCGGCAGTCTCTCTCGGGGGCTCTTTGATAAACAATGCCTTAGCTTTTTTCACGACCTCGTTTTCTGGTTTTGAATGTTGGAGATAGATGGAGGTGTATGACGACTGTTTTGTTTTTTGGTGGGGTTTTTCAGTAGGTACTCGGGGTTGGGATGAATTTTGTTTTGTGACTTCATTTGTTTGTTTTTCGAAATTAGATCTGCATGTTAGCATTCATGCGTCGTGTACAAAATTATTGACAGTAGCCCAATTTTAATTTGAAGTTTGGTTTTGGTTCAGAAATTCAGATTCGTCATTTAACGTGACGAGATTACGAATGTATTAGGATCACACTTTCTTCAAGTAATTAGCTATCCTGAAAGAGGTTCAAAAGATATTTTTTATATCCATGAACCACTTACTAACTTGTATATTTTCACAAAATTCATAAGTAGGTACCAACCTAGTACATGATTATATCTAATAATTAATAGCACAACATGTGTGGTGGAACATACATAATATTGTTTAAGTATGTGTCACTACTCACTGTCAAAACTTGGATCCCAATTCTGAACTCGTTAATATGCTCTTTGACACACGAGATTGCTAGAACTTCTGAACAGAGGAAACAGTTAAAATAAGTAGATAAAGTTTAATAGGAAGGAGTTCCGAGAAACAAAATAAGAATAACTTGTTTATGACAGTGCTGGTACTGGGTGCTTCAGAGTGGAATACTGTTTGCTTTTATAAATAAAGTTAAATTTTATTCGGTACGCAGTACCCGGCGCGGGTCAACGTCCGCATTTTCTTGCATCGACTTGCATATTCGTAATTGGTTTGTACTAAGAACTTTTTGTGAGAATTTCATTTCGATTTGTTTTTAAATGGGATTCAAAAAGCTGGTTCTGAACTTTAAAAGCAAAATATAAAAAGGATATTTGCCGTGTCTTTTGGGACAGCCTTAATTCTAAACTATTTTTCTATATTTCTAGTCAATGTAAACTAACGAGCCAGCCCTACACTCCCTGGGTTTTTAATCCCCAGACAGAAACTTTTTGGGAAACCTAATACCAGGCTGAAGTTAGTTAGCTGCTGTTTTCTCGAGCATTCTAGTGTTGGTAGTAATAAGTATCACGAACTTGGGTCCCCTTAATATTTCATGATTTATACTTACATTAACGACATCAAATTCATTCTAAAATTGAGTCCCAACCAAAATTGTTAAGTTTTTTAGCTTCTACAGATACAGATGTCAGTGTAAAAAATGCTGATCTCCATGGTAATTTGATAATAAGACTTAGGTTTAAAAACTTCGCACACTTATTTAGTTAGGCGCTTGCTCTCAATTCTCGAATATAAAAGCAAGGACAGAANGGACAGAATTTAAACAGATCTGATTACATTAGAGCGCTGGAAGTTCTAAAGATACCAAATGAACGAACATTTAATTTTCTCTTCGGTTTGCTAAGTTCACAGCGACTGTTCGTAGTTGTGAGCCCTCGGATTAAAGGCTTCACACCAGGTGTTGCATTTCAAGTTAACTAAACACTTCCCCGGTTTAGTAGGGTTCTTGCGAGTTACTTGTTTATTTTAGGACTTTGTGTATATCAATGCGAAGTTATCTGGTAAACTTACGACGTGCGACACGTTGCTTGAAGTTGTTTCCAACTAGATTTGCTATCTAACATGTTTATAGTCGAGTTACTTGGGAATTAATTAAGTCTGAAGAAGTTTGAACTTACGTCGTCACATACGAGTATCAGTCGTAAGAACTAAGTGATATCAAGTAAATAGTATAGTCTGTATGAAACAACGATAACTATATTTTCGGTTATGCATCACAGTAAGATACGAAAAAAGCGTGAGGATCTACTATTTCTGAATCAAATTACTATATTCATAATAAGACTATAGTTAACTCATAGACACCCACAATCATAATTATGATCGATTTATATTATTGCGTCTTTACTCACTAATAAAAGAGTGAATAGAACGCGTAACTTACCTACGTTTGGGACATCATTACGAACTTAATATATGAAATCCAAGTAACATTTATTGAGGGGGAAACTCAGCCCTCTCCCTCCACCCCTTAACTCAACCCTTAAACATTTAAATTGCCAAAGTAACTTTTTAAATAAATAATTATGTTACAGAGTGCTGCTTTAAATTTTAACAGCTGTGAGTGAACATGCGTGTTCAACATTTTAATAATTTATAATGTAAACGTCAATAAACACTTTATACACATTGCTAACATTTAGATAGCGTTTATTTTGGAGCTAGAATAACACTCATTAGGCATAAAGCAGAAGCAATTTCACGCTTCTATGGGATTATAATTTGCTTACCACGTCAGGAATTAACGTTTGTTAAATTAAATACAGAAATACAGACTCCTAAAAATATCCGTTAAAATCATCGTCATCATCATCAAATTATTTAATTTGCCGTATAATAATTTGTTCATTGTCCAGACAGATAACAGAACATCAAGTTTAAACATTTTCGTTTCAAAATCGCCTTTACTACAACTACATTCCGAGTACAACCACACATCATATTTAATTTGTCATAACTGTACTTTATGGACACGACAAACATTTCACCAAAAGTTGAAAACGTAAAACACATCACACAGGTATTTTTCGACCCGCATTTGGCGTTTATTCCAAAATGATATATCATTAACGCCTTTGTCCAGCAATTTTCGCTGTAACTGCAATTTATTGGCCATTTACTTAAAGCGATTATTTACTGAGTCTGCGGGCTATATGAAATTGCATTCCAGTCTTATACAACACATTTATTAAAGCTATGTAATGCAGGGGTCATCTATCTCCAGGTTGCTGTTGCAAAAGTTATGGCCTAACTATTGACCGAGCATGAGGTATAAGAAAATAAACTCTCAGTTATACGGTTTTAGATATATTTTCAAATTCATGGAGCATTGACCACGTGCATTCAGCACACCATCCATGCACCGTTTATGCGATGGCAGCATTTCAAATTGAATCATATCTAGTTGAGACTGGAAGAAAATTTGCGGTGACTTACCTCTATATTGAACACCCGAATGTTTTTGTTTTACACCTACAATGTTTAACTATTCAAACTAATAAAAAAGTAACGTCAAGTTACATTCTTAATTAGTTACATTTAGTGCTATTCATAATCGTGTCGATATCTTAAAACATATTTTCTGAACTTATGAACTTTTGACGAATTAGATTTATTTTTTATGACGAACCGTAGACGAACCGTATTAGACCGTATTAGAACCGTATTAGAACCGTATTAGACGAACCGTAAGAAAATCAGTAAGAATAAATATGAATTTCAAATCAAACTAAAGGATAATATGATAGAAAATCCCATGCCAATGTAATGCTTGCACAAAATGCCGTCCCATATGCGTCTGGCATGGA